GCAAATACAAAATTTTTCCATCGAAGCATCCAAAGTAGACACCGAAAAATGGAAATCAACATTGTACAGATCCAAGGTAAGCAAATAACAGAATTTCAAGAGATTAAAGAAGGTATTGCCAATTATTTTGAAGAGTTATTTAAGGATGACGAATGGCAAAGACCAGTTCTAGATGGTATGACATTTAAACAGATCTCAACCGAGGAAGATTCAGCACTAATCAGGCCATTCAATGAAGAAGAAATAAAGGCAGTGGTGTGGGAGTGTGGTAGTGACAAATCTCCAGGTCCAGACGGGTTTAACTTCAGATTCTTCAAGGAATTCTAGCATGAGATAAGGGAGGATGTGATTGGGTTTTGCTCAAGAGTTCCAAAAGAACGAGAAATTATGTAGAGGATCAAATGTTTCTTTCATTACTTTGATTCCAAAGGTATCCAATCCCCAAAAAATTGAAGAATACAGGCCTATATCATTGATTGGGGCTATGTATAAAATCATTGCTAAGATATTGGCTAACAGAAGTAGAGTGGTGCTCCTAGAGGTGATTGGTGAGCAATAGATGGCATTCTTGGAAGGAAGACAGCTAATTGAAGGGGTGGTACTCGCTAATGAGATTATGGATGAAGCTAGGAAGAAAAGAAAGGACAGTTTCATGTTGAAGGTTGATTTCGAGAAAGCATATGATAAGGTATGTTGGGAGTTTCTAGACTACATGCTGTGGAGAGTCGATGTTGGAACCAAATGGAGAGGCTGGATCAATGAATGTCTACGAACAAGCTCACTATCAGTTCTAGTTAACGGAAGTCTTTCTAGACAATTCGAAGTGTCTAAAGGATTGAAAGAGGGTGACCCTTTGTCTCCATTCCTGTTCCTTATTGTTGTTGAAGGTCTTAATGGAATAATTAAGTCAACAGTTGAAAAAGGGCTATTTAAAGGAATTGAGGTTGGACAAAATGGCGTGAGATTCTCTTATATACAATTAGCAGACGATATTATCATGTTTGGGAAAGCTACTGAAAAAAACGTATGGGTTGCTAAATGTATTATGAGATTATTTGAGCTTGTGTCAAGCCTCAAAATTAATTTTATCAAAAGCCAGTTGATTGGAATGCATGTTGAGGAGGAATGGTTAAAAAAAATGGCTTGCTTGATGCACTACAAGATAGGTGAACTTCCATTCAAATATCTTGGGGTGATGATTGGGGGAAATCAGAGGAAATGGAAAATGTGGCAACCATTGACTGAGGCTTTTCGAAAGAAATTGACGACTTGGAAAGAAAGATAGCTGTCTTTTGGTAGAAAAATCACGCTATTGCAGTTTCTGCTCTCATCGCTCCCAATTTTCCTTATGTCCATCTATCTCGTCCCAAAAGGTATTTTAAAAATTCTTGACAAAATTAAAAGAGATTTTCTTTGGGGGGGTTGTGGGGAAAAGAAAAAAACTCTTTGGGTAAACTGGAAGAGGATATGCCAAAGAAAAAAAAGAGAGGGGATTAGGAATTAAAGACCTTAGAAGTTTTAATCTTGCTTTACTTGGTGAATGGTGGAGGAGATTGGCGGAGAAAAAAGAGAGTTTGTGGTTAACAATTATCAAAGAAAAGAATAGTGGTGGAGACGAAAATTGGGAAAATTGGGTTAGAGAGGGCAAGGGGAGAGGATCAAGTTGGTGGCAAGATGTACGTAGAATAGACGTTGTTGAGCAAAATCGAAGTAGATGGCTGTTCGAAGGGTTTGAGATCAGTGTAGGCAAGGGAAGAAGCTTTAGCTGTTGAAGGGATGCATGGAGGGATTCTGGAGAGCTAGCTAACATTTTTCCAAGATTAAACTTATTCTCTACAAGCAAAGACAACAAGCTAAACCAAATGGGAAGTTAGGAAAAAGGACTATGGAAGTGGAACCTCCAATGGAGACAAAAGCTTCACACATGGGAACAAGATAAGGCAAAGGAATTGGACAACATTCTACAGAACTCAACATTGCAGCAGGGAGAAAGAGAATTGTTGAGATGGAAATTCAATTCAAGCGGAAAGTATTCCTCAAGCTTAGGATATGCAAGACTTGTTAGCAACGAAAACATGCCTCACAAAAGAATCTACGAAAGGGTATGGAATCCTATCATCCCTCACAAAATGTGTTGATTTGTATGGCAATTAATCATTGATAGGTTGCCAACTAAGGTTAATTTACTTAAAAGAGGGATTCTAAAAGATATCCAGGAAACTACTTGCTCCTTGTGTGATGATTATGTTGAGGACAATAGCCACTTGTTTTTGCATTGTAAAATTTCCTCCCAGATATGGGCATGCTGTTATAGATGGTGGGAAATCAAAACTGTAGCAACAAAAAATATGTGGGACGATTTTGAGCAGCATGATGGGTTGATGATCAAAGGAAAAATGAAGACAAGATGGGAAGCTGTGTGGTTTGTAGTGATATGGACAATTTGGAATGCTAGGAATGAAAGAATCTTCAAAAACAAATCAGTTGATGCTAAAAGGTTGTTCAATTCTATTCAAATGAAGACATATCAATGACTATGAAGTAGAGAGAAGAAGTGGAGATACTCATTATCTGATTGGATTCAAAATCCAAGGGCATCCTAATGTAGTAAACAACCAAGGTTAGGTTGCTGCTTTCTACAGGTTATATAGTTGACATATGCCTCTGCTTTTTTGTAGTAGAACTACTTTGACATGTAAACAGGTTTGAGTATCCCTTGTACTCAATTAATTAACTAATTAATTTTGCTTTTCAAAAAAAAAATAAAAATAGATACTACCTCTATTCAACTTTAGTAGCCCTATTAAACATGAGTTTCATATGAAGACTTAACATATTTTATAAATGATAATTAAATTTTTTATCAAATAAAAATACTCAACAATAATTATTTATGAAAATTTTTTTAATTATTGTTCTTATAAATTGTTAAATTTTTATCAAAAATTGATATCTAAAAAATTAAAAATTCAAATTAAAAATACTGAAATTTGAATGGATGGAGTATAATCTAACAAAGTAATCTAAATGTTCATAACCCATTTTTATAAATAAAAATTCAAACAGGGTAATCACATTATTATGCGTTAATTCTAGCCCGCTAACAGATCAACCACATTCATAAACACCCGAATTAACATGGCTTAATTATGAGGATAAAACAATCTGATCCAGATAGTTGATTATACTTTAATAAACAAAATTGATAATCCAAACAAACAGATGCAAAATAAGGGAATACGTACGTACCTGAGGGAAGGCGGAGCTCTGGGCCCACACGCTGTCATCGTGGCCTAGGATGGCAGCGGCGGCGAGACGGTGGCCTTCGATATCACCCATGAGGTGATCATCAACGTATGTTTGCCACGACATTTTCCGATCAAATGAATCACCGTCGCTGCGCTGCTTCAACGTGGATTGAATTGAATGAGAGAGTAAGTTTTTAATATGCTGGCGGTGGTGGGACATGGGAATGAAGTTAGAAGTATAAACTGAAGCTGTGCGGGGGTGGGGATGGGGCCCGAAGGAATAATGGCCTTTGGATTGAATGGAGTGTTAATACCGTTCGGGGAAATGGTAACTGGTAGTGATATAGGATAATTTTTTTTTTTAATATACATATTTTTTATATGATATTAAATGATATGTTATTAAATAATCACAGATACAGTTAATATTATAGATTTAATTGAATAAAAAAATTAATTTTTTAAATTACATATATAATTATATAAAAAGTAATATAAAAGGTTATCTTCGAATTATTTTCATAAATGAAACGGAAAGAAAATAAAGGTAATAAGGTGATGTGGACGGTCAAGATATTGCCATCTCATGAAAGTCTAGTGGATCAGGTTTGTGTTCGGGCCTTGTAAAGGCAACGGTCCAAAAAACATACAATCTATTCATTCATTTCATTTCCTTGAATTTTGAAAAATTTGTAGGTTTTAGAAACTTGAAGAAACATTTTTGTTTTAGTACATGTAGGCTGAAAGGTGAAATTATCAAAATGCATGTCTTCTAATAAATTTCAGTACTAAAACAACACTTTTTTTGTGCAATCTATATTAAAAAAAAAAAACTTAATTTAAAATTAAGAAAGAAAAAGAGAGAAAAGGGCTCATAGCACGAAATATTGTTACTCTTTTTGTACTTAGAAATATCACAAGTAAATAATTTTCTGTAACTATTCTAATTTTACAGTCTACTACATTTTTTTTAATCAGCAAAGAAGTCTAATTTTGTTATGGAGGTATACAGTCTACTACATAATCTGTCCCAAAATATCACTGGGAAAATAAAAAAAACAAGGAATGCAGGAACTATAGCTGAAAATAACGTCCTAGTTAGGATTATATATAAAGACAAAAGCCTGAGATAACCAAAGGGAAAATTAAAGTAACCAAATTAACAACATAATTGGCCTAGGTTAAGAGAGGAAGAGAATTCATCAAAAGAAGTGGGAAACATGAGCTCGTGGGAGAGAAAAGCTTTGTAACACTTTAAATCTCATGTTAGAGTAATTGACTAAAAGTATCCGTGTGTGTGTATATATATATATGTAAAAATGAATTATTATTAATAATTTGAGTTTAATTTTCTTAAAATTTATAAATTTTAATTTGAAAAATTATTAATTTAGTGATGAGTTTCACCTTGAGTTATTTTAACTCTCTTACCCAAAATTCATAACAAATTAAAGAAATTAAAATTCATGACCATTAATATTTGGCAGCATACTGGATAGGACCCGTGAAAGGGGACCAAACCATATTTTATTTGCAGTACATACTACAATAATTAGATGAAACTAACAAACTAATTTTGATTAAAATTTATAAATTTTAGCTTGAAAAGTTATTAACTTAATGATGAGTTTTAGTTTGAGTTGTTTCAACTCTCTTGTCCAAAATTCATGATAAATTAAAGAAATTAAAATTCGGGACCATTAATATTTGGGAGCATACTAGATAGGACCCGTGAAAGGGACCAAACCATATTTTATTTGCAGTACATATTACAGTAATTAGATGAAACTAACAAACTAATTTTGATCAAGCAATGTAAAACATAGGATTCGGTAATTTGAATGTCCGGTTACCGACATTCAAGCCCAAAATGTCGCTCCACTGATCTCCCATGTTTCCCAGGATCCTGTATCCTGCTTTTACAAGTGCTGTTCTCCTCTTGGATTTGTACGCTAATGCTGTCAGACCAGAATCATCGCTTTGCCTAAAAAATAAGAAGAAACAAACAAACATCAAGAATGATATCTTTGAGTTATTCTAACATAAGTTTCTGAATTTCATTAATGATTTTTTTTTTTTTTACTTTAAAATGAGCTTTTCCCAAGTGTGGTAGCCGGAGTTCTTCATGTTCTTCTCTGTGATTGCTCTGAGGTTCTCTTTTTTACCGGACAAAAAGACAATCTTGTAACCTAGACGCAGTAGGTTCTTGTACAAATAAAGAGTTGCTGGAACTGGTGGTGCTATCCCTTTTAATTCCCATTCCTGAAATGATGTCTCGTTGTATTCCTTGGCACTAAGATATGCATATCATAAAAAATTAATCGTTAATTTAGTATATATATTAATTCCTAATTAAATATATATTTGCCATGAATATTTAGTGTCTAAAATCTTAGGAAGTATAATTTGCTTTACCCAAATGCATTTTCCGGCAGTGCATAGTAAGGCAGATTGGAGAGTGAAGTCTCATCAATATCAAAAACCCAAGCATCCTTTCCGTCTCCTTTGAGCTTAAGGCTCTTGGCGTACTCATACGCGGCCGCAGCTGCAGCGTCGCAGTCCTTCCGGTACTGGTGGCCCAGCATGTAATGTCCCACGTAATTCTCACATGTCGCCGGAACCACGTCCCAATCACGGATGTTATCAGTCTCCACAGCCAGCCTCCAGCTGAGGCAGTTGATGCCCGGAATGCGGTGGCCGGCTGCCCCAGACTGCGGCCTCAGTGGGTGAATTTGGTTGGGAATATTGGAAGCGGAAACTGATATGGTACTAGTAGCAATAAGGAAAAAGAGTAAAAGGAGCTTCATGGTTTTTCAAGGAGGGAAAATATAAACTTCGGTTTGATGTAATGCCATACTTCCATGGAGGTTCTTTAAATAAGCTCAGACCTACAACTGTAACCCTAGTTTTTGATATTATTTCCGAATCTACCTTGTCAGTTACCAAGAAAATTACTGAGTAAAAAACAGTGAGGTGAATATGATTTCTCTTTTTCCTTTTTTTTTTTTGTCTTTTCATTTGTCGGTTTTATAAATCATTATCCATTCGGTAATAATTTATTGAAATTATTTCTCCTGCAAGTAAATATCATCACGTGTAAATTAGTTTGAAGGATTAAGTGTTTTTTTCTTGTCTAATAGGATTACATTTTTTTGGAGAATGGGAATGTGAATTAAGAAAAAGAAATTTACGAGGTTTGAAATTATAATTTAAATAAATAATCTCATTAATTTAGGATTAATATTATTAGGTTAAAACATGAAAATTTATTGAAGAATTAAGTTTCAATAGATTAAATATTTAAAAAAATTAATTTATTGAATGTATATACAGATTGATTTAAAAAGTTCACTATTAAAATTATCCAGGTAAATTAGTCTGGTGATATTTTAGCCGTTTAGAAAAATAAAATTATAAAATTTTCTTAATTTCTTTAATCCACGCGGGAAAAACCGACGTGATTTGTTCACGTTGGATTATTAGAGCAGAGCAATATTGTCCACAGATAAAGAACATGTGGATAAAAACATACTCGTACTACATCGCAATTTCAGATTTTTTTTTTTCTGGCCGAAAGCGAAGTTTTCAGGTTCCTTTTTTTTTTTTTTCTTTTTTTGGACGAAAGCAAAATTTTCAGAATATTCGTTACATATCCATCACATCCAGAGCATAATTTTTCATGCATTTAAAAAAAAATAGAAATAGTATTACCACAAAAAGAAAAATAACAAATTTAGACTACTCTATCAATTCCTATCAATTCCTATCCACCTATTTAAGAGTATGTAATTGGTTTAAGAGAAATAAAGAGGATAAAAAATAAATTGATTTTTTTAATTAATTATACAATAAATTTAAAAATAGTATAATTTAATTAATTAAAAAATTTATCTATTTTTTTCCTTCCCTGCATTCCTTTCAAAACATACTCTACAAGTGCACTTGACCTTAGTGGTATCAAACCATCCCCTTCATCCGAACAACGGTTTGGACTCAACTTTTTGTAAAATTGTTAAAAAAAAAAAAAAAACAAACATACTCTACAAGCATTGATTTTAGTTTTAGGGATACGCTCTGGACAGGAGTTTTTAAAACTCTGTCCTCACTTTGGCACGTACAGTAATTAACATTTGTTGTTTTTTACCAAATTTATCTCAAACTAAATTACAATATACAGTGGCAAATAACATACAATAGTCTCAATTTAAACACACTTACCTCCCCCCCCAAAAAAAAAAAAAAAAAAAAAAGAAAGAGGGAAGGAGGAAATAACCGTCCGTACGTTTCTATCTCTCCTCTATTATTATTATTATTTTTAAGTAAAACACACTAAAGTATGGCTTTTAGTCGCACTGGCGCTTGAGATTTAGTGGCATAGCTACAGTGCATTCTCCTTCCCCGGCAGGGTTGAAAACCTGTCCTTACAAAATATGTTCAAAAATTAAAAAAAAAAAAGTATGGCTTCTAGCCTTCCACAGTTCCACCCTGTAGCCGCATGCGGTGAGATTTTTTTTGTTTGGTGATCACGTTCTCAATGTTGGACAGCTACCCCTGCTTGAAGGGCCCACTGGTCTTGGACTCTTGGCTGGGTGCGGGAAATCAGACAGCCTTATCTCATCCTTGTCGTCATTTTATCCCTTGCTCTATCCATATTATAATATCTTGTTAACGTTAGTATATTTTA